TTACTGGGCGCGCCCAGGAGGCTCGGGATCCCAGAAGAGTTCTGGACCATGATGCGCGTGATGACAACTGAGAGGATGTTTGTCGTTAGCGAATGCGGCGGGGATTTTGCTTTGGGGCCGCAGCTGCCCGGCATCCCTCGCGGGCGCACGCCCAGCTTATGTCCGTTTATTCTCGCAGTGGTAGCGCTACTGCGCGACGTTGCTGGTCTCTTGGAAGTTGGAGCGAGAACGCTTCCAAGAAGGAGGACTTGTGCGCGTGCGTCTACGCGGAGGACATCCTGCTTGTTGGAACAGACGACGTTTTTTGGAATGAGTACATTCATAGCTTCCGTTAAGAAGCTCCCTCCCGCCAAGCTGGGTCTCATTTTTTTTTTCAAAAAAAAAAATCGATAACGAATTCGAAAAAGCTGGCTCAGTTTCTTAACGCCGGCATCCTCTTACTGATCTTCCTACAGATCTTCGGGATCTTCTTCCAGATCTTCGTCGAGATCTTCCTCTGGACCTTCCCTCAGATATTCTTCCCGATCTTCTTCTGTATTCTCTCCGAGAGCTTCCCCAGATCTTCGCCCAAATCCTCTCCGAGATCTCCGCCCAGATCTTCCTGCAGATCCTCGCCCAGATCAATCCCTCCTTAGATCTCCCCCCAGATCTTCATAGAGATCTTCCCCTAGATTTTCCCCCTGATATTCCTTCAGGTTTTCTCCCAGATCTTCCCCTGGATCTTCCCCCAGATTTTGCACCAGATCTTCCTTCAGATTCCCTCTCAGATCTTACTCCCGATCTCTTTCCGGGTCGCCACGCAGCTCTTTCACCACATCTTTCCCCTGATCTTTCTCCAGATCTTCCCCCAGATCTTCCCCCAGATCTTCCTCCAGATCTTCCTCCAGATCTTCCTCCATATCTTCCTCCATATCATCCTCCAGATCTTCCTCCAGATCTTCCTCCAGATTTTCTTCCAGATCTTCCTCCAAATTTTCCTCCAGATCTTCCTCCAGATCTTCCGCCAGATCTTCCTCCAGATCTTCCCCAAGATCTTCTTCCACATCTTCCTTCAGATATTCCTCCAGATGTGCCTCCAGATCTTCGTCCAGATCTTCCTCTAGATTTTCCTCCAGATCTTCCCCCAAATCTTCCTCCAGATATTCTCCCAGATCTTCCTCCAGATCTTCCTCCGGGTCGCCACGCAGCTTTTTCACCAGATCTTCCCCCTGATTTTCTCTCAGATCTCTCTTCTAGATCTTCTTCCAGATCTTCCTCCAGATCTTCCCCTCCCGGCTGTTCCTCCAGATATTCAACGGAAGCCCCTCTTCCAAGGACGGGCCTGTGGGTGCCATGAACTAGTGGCAGAAATACCATCGCAACCACCACCACCACCAGCGCAACCACTATCGCAACTAGCAGCGCCATCACCAGCGAAATCGTCACCAGCGAAACCACCATCAAAACGAGCAGCACGACCGACAGCACAGAGACCAGCGCAACCACCAACAGAGCCGCCAGCAAAACCATCATATCCTCTTCCAGATTTTCCTCCAGATCTTCCTCCCAGATCTTCACCCAGATATTCACCCAGATCTTCCTCCCAGATCTTCCTCCCAGATCTTCCTCTCAGATCCTCATCGCAGATATTCCTCCCACATCTTCATCCATCATATATTGTTCCAGATCTTCCCCCCAGATCTTCACCCAGATCTTCTCCCTGGGTTCAATCGGATCTTCATCCAGATCTTCTTCCAGATCTTCCTCCAGATCTTCCTCCAGATCTTTGTCCAGATCTTCCTCCAGATCATCCTCTTGATCTTCCTCCAGAACTCTTCCTCCAGATCTTCCTCCAGATCTCCCTCCAGATCTTCCTCCCAGATATTCACCCAGATATTCACCCAGATCTTCCTCCAGATTTTCCTCCAGATCTTCTTCCGGATCTTCCTCCAGAACTCTTCCTCCAGATCTTCCTCCAGATGTTCCTCCAGATCTTCTTCCAGATCTTCCTCCAGAGGTTCCTCCAGATCTTCCTCCAGATCTTTCTCCAGATCTTCCTCCAGATCTGTCCAGATGTTCCTCCAGATCTTCCTCCAGATCTTCCTCCAGATCTTCCTTCAGCTTGCACGATCTTTCTTTAGATCTCCCCGCAGATCCTCATCAATATCTTCACACATCTCGTCCGATCTTCCTCCAGATCTTCCTTCTTATGAATCCCAGTATCCTCTTTTAGATCCTCCTCAATATCTTTTCCCAGATCGGCGTTTCAGATCTTCTCCCATATCCACTCCCATCTTCCTCCAGATCTTCCTCCGGATCTTCCTCCAAATCTTCCTCCAGATCTTCCTCCAGAACTCTTCCTCCAGATCTTCCTCCAGATTATCCTCCAGATGTTCCTCCAGATGTTCCTCCAGATTTTCCTCCACATTTTCCTCCAGATCTTCCTCCCGATCTTCCTCCAGATCTTCCTCCAGATCTTCCTCCAGATCTTCCTCCAGATTTTCCTCCAGATCTTCCTCCAGATGTTCCTCCAGATCTTCCTTCGGATCTTCCTCCAGATCTTCCTCCAGATCTTCCTCCAGATCTTCCCCCAGATCTTTCTCCAGATCTCCCTCCATATGTTCCTGCATATCTTCCTCCAGATCTCCCCCCAGATCCTCCTCCAGATCTTCCTTCAGATCTTCCTCCAGATCTTCCTCCAGAGGTTTCTCCAGATTTTCCTCGAGATTTCCCTCCAGATCTTCCTCCAGATCTTCCTCCAGATCTTCATCGAGATCTTCCTCTAGCTTGTTCCCCGTGCGTTCATCCAAATACTCCCCCAGAGCTCCCTCCATATGTTCCTGCAGATATTTCTCCTGATCTTCCTCCACATCCTCCCCCAGATCTTCTTGCAGATTTCCATAGATCGCCTCCCGGATTTTGCTCTGGTTGTTCCCCCGGATATTCCCCCAGATCACCACCCAGATCCTCGCCCAGATCTTGACGTGTTCCTGTATGTTGTTTGCTGCAGAGCCCCCGGCGCCGCAATCGGCTCAATCACCGGCACAATCTTCGTCGGAACCACCCACACTGGCGTCGCGCTGCGCTAAGAAATTGCACGCTTCAAAGCTGGCTCTCGCAAGGGGGCTAAGAATTCAGCGAAGCTGGGTCTCAATTTCTTACTGGAAGATTTCTTAGCATATGCAGCATAAGTTTTGAGTGTACTTGACAAGCAATTTTGACACGCGTCGCAGGTGCGGCATGGAGCTGCACGCGTGGAGCTGCAGTGGGACAAGTTCCAGGTCCTTGCTGCGGGAGCGAAAGGGGGCACTTGTGCCCCCGACGGCACAGCGCGCGGGCAAGATAAGCAGCTTCAATACTTAGGCGCGCAACCGTCAGCCGGCGCAGACGCAGGGCCTGCACTAGGACTTGGAGGCGCAAGTTGCCTATCTCTGGTCGGTGGTGGACTCAAGACTGCTTTGCGGGCTTGCTGGATTATGTTCTAACGTAGCCCAGACGCGTCGTCTGAACGGCTCCCAGAACAGCTGCGTCAGAAAGATCATTGGCATCAGCCCGTCATGGTTGTCCAGAGTATCATTGGTAGAAGTACTGCGCCTTGCGCAGCACACGGTTGCTAGCATCGTGCTACTATGCTGGCAGATGCTCCGGTTCGGCGACATGCCGCGCTCAACTGAGAACAGTTTAGTTCGCCGCACCGCTTTCGCGCCAATTTCACGCTGTCGACTGCTGCCGGAGCGCGGCGCAGAGGCGCGCCGAGCAGAGAGCTCGTCCCCTGCAATGTTGAAGTAAGCTGTAGGAGGCGGTCGACGCAGCGCAGTCTGAATCGGGCTGGAAACGAACGCTGCGCCATCAATTTCTCTCATTCTGAGTTTCCAAGTGTTTTGTTTTGTATGTTCCGCACTCTGTCTTTTCACGCACCGCCTGGTGCACGACCCTGAAGGAAGGAAGTGCTCATTTTTGGCGGCCCCGGGGCCCGATCATGGGCCCCAGAGGCCGAGATCGAGGATTAACGCCCAGATTGAAAAATCAGACCTGCGACGACCACCCCTCAGGTTTGGGGGGGAGAATGACGCCGCTGATGACAGTCTTCGTGGTTGTGATGCGATGCGCCCTCGGGTTGGCGACGACCGATTTCACAACATATCGCACCATCGATACGCCAATCGATTTCACCGTCGATCTGACATTCGAATTCATATTCGATCTCATGTTCGGGTCCAGTATCGAATTCACACAAGTTTCCACTATCAGTTTCGCAATGGATCTTCGAGTCGGTCTCACGACCGGTCTCATAATCGATCTCACCGTCGATGCCAGTATAGATCTCACCAGCGATCTCACCATCGATGCTACAAGAGGTCTCACCATCGATCTCACAACGGATTCCATGATGGATCTCCCAAGCGATCTCAGTATCGATCTCGCCGCCCTGCTCCGGGGCACTGACTCGCGTCGCCCTGCTCGGGGACACGGAACACCGACGGGACACCAACCCGCCACCGACGGGACACCCCAACGGATTCTACAGCCGTTAGCCACGGCGGCGACACCGACGGGACACCGACGTGACACCCATTGCCACAGCGCGCTGGGGCGGAGGGGGGCGAACACCCAATTCCACAGCCCCCAGCCACTTCGCCCGCACGCTCGACACGAACAACAAACCGAAACCGATTTCCTGGTTGGGGGGTTCCCGTTCCACTGCGATCTCACCCCCCAACCTCCGATCCTTTCGGGCGTTGCGTACCAGGGCGTCGATGAATGGGTGGTGAAGGTCGGTGCAGCTGTTGTGTCCTAGAGGTGCCCCGACAGGGGACTGGTGGGGCCCAAGAGGGCTACGAAAGGTGCACTTGTCTCGTGTCCCTTCCCACTTCTCGCCCTTCCTTCCATCAGCGCCCAATTCTCGGAGATCTGGGTTTGGCCTTTGTCTGGCTCTGCCTTCTGCTTGCCTCGCCCCGCCCTGCCCGTGCTGCCTCTCCTGCGTTGGCCTTGTGCCCAGCGCGCCGCCCGGACCCGCAGAGGCGCGCGCGTTCGAGGCGCTGTTGTCCGGGGCCCCCATGTGCCTGAGCTACATCTCGCGGACGCACCTGCAGCTGGAGGTTTCGTTCCCTTTTCCTTTCTCCTCCTCCGCTGAGATCCTGGCCCTCGCAATCCCGGCCCGCCCTCTGCTTCGGTCTTCTCTGGAGCCCTCCAGGGAGAGCAACACATTCCTGGCGCACAGTCCGGGGCTATGGATGAGGAGCTTGAGCGGCAACCAGACATCTCGGCCTCGGCGTTTTTCCCCGGAGTTCTTCACGGCGGAGGCTACCCAGGAGGTCTCGGGAGGTCCCAAGAAGCCTCCGCTGGGCAGAGCAAAAGGAGGGCACCACTAGGTCGCCAGCTTCTCCAGAGGATCGATGTTCGAGGATCGAGGTTCGAGGATCAGGGGTCGAGGGGATTGTGGACGCTTCGAAGCCTCTTGGGAGGTTCGTGGGGCATTGGAGGTCCCGAGGAGGGCTGTCCTCCGCGACCAGGTGGCGACCCTTAGTGTGACCCCCCTTGGCATCACCTGGGGGAACCCAAGAAGGGCGAGACACGCCCAAATCTTCGATCTCTCATGATGATGATGATGATGATGATGATGATGATGATGATGATGATGATGATGATGATGATGATGATGATGATGCTGATGATGATGATGATGATGATGATGCTGCTGCTGATGCTGATGATGATGTGATGATGGTGATGGTGATGTGATGTGATGGTGCTGATGATGATGATGATGATGATGATGATGATGATGATGCTGATGATGATGGTGGTGATGATGATGATGTTGGTGTTGGTGTTGGCGTTGGTGTTGGTGATGGTGATGGTGATGATGCTGATGCTGATGCTGATTCTGATGCTGCTGATGATGATGATGATGCTGCTGATGATGATGATGCTGATGATGCTGATGCTGCTGCTGCTGCTGTTGCTGCTGCTGATGATGATGATGATGATGATGATGATGATGATGATGATGATGATGATGATGATGATGATGATGATGATGATGATGATGATGATGATGATGATGATGATGATGATGATGATGATGATGATGATGATGATGATGATGATGATGATGATGATGATGATGATGATGATGATGATGATGATGATGATGGTGATGATGATGATGATGATGATGATCTCCCCCATCTAGACCTTCAGGTGCAGGGGTCGGGGCTATGGATGACGAACGTGAGCAGCAACCAGATCTACGTCAATAGCGAGCCCGTGGCCAAGGGCGAGTCCAGGCTGGTCAGCCAGGATCGTGAGGTGGGTCGAACCAGCGCCGAGTGCCAGCTGTCGGCGGGGGTGGTCTCTTTTGAACGGGGGCTGTTTGAACTGAGAGGGCTGGAGGGGGAGGAGGGTCCAGGATCGTGCTTTTTGCTGCTCGGGCCTGGCCCTTTTCTGGGTCTCTGGAGGGATATTCGGAGGCATCCTGGGACCTCCTGGGATTCCAGACACGTCCCTGCGGAAGATGAGGGCGAGGAGAGGAAGGAGGAGAGGAAGGAGGGCGGTACTTGTGCCCAGACTCGGAGGGTGCTAGGTCAATGCGGAGCAAGTGCGTTCGGAGTGTTCGGTCTCCGCATGGACCTTTTCCGTCTGGACTTGGCCCCTCCTGGTAGGATGCTGCGTCCATGTGGGGTGAGTCCGCACAGAGTGCTCGACCTCCGCATGGACTTACAGTCAACCTGCATAGTACGGATGAGCGACTTTCCAAGGTTACTCTTGCATCCTTCCCCTTCGGCCCATCCTGGGCCGCTCTCGCTGGTCGCGCCTCGCCCGCAAAGTGTCGCCGTGGCCTTCCAAGGCCCGTGCATCCTTACCGCGCATCCTTACTATCCGGGTTGACTGTACTCCGTCTGGACTAGCCTCCCTTGACAGACGTCCTCCCATATGATATGGTCGAGCCGCCCCAGAGCTGCGTGGGGCCCGATGGCAGGCCCGGAGGCCGGAGTCGAGGAGAGAAACGCCCGGATTCAACAGATCATACCGTCGGAATCCGTCGGAATAAATCTGGGTACCTTCGGCCACGCGAAGAGGGAAGTAGGGGGGGGGGGGGCAGGGCGTCTTAGAAGCACCCCTGCTTCTTAGAAGGCATGGGCCTCGTCTGTAGATGTAGGGCCGGCGGCTTCTAAGAAGCAGCCTCCTTCTAAGAAGCCTTCCCCCCTCCCCCTACCCCGCGCGCCGCCAATACCTGTAGCCTGCAGGGCCGACCCAGCCGGGCTGACCTAAGCCCAAGTACCCAGCCCCCCTCCGACTCCTGAGAAACATCACGACGCAAGGTCGTTCTCCACTTTTCGGCCTCGGGGGGGGGGCCCCTCGCCGGGCCGTGGGGCCCTCGGCAAGCGCGGCTCCGGAGGAGACGCCGGCCTCGGTGACTGGGACGAGCCCCGTTCTGGGGCTCGACGCTTTAGCCCTCCCAGGAGTCGAAAAAAAAACCCTCCAACCACCCGCGAAAGGACCTCTCCAGGTCCAGGG